GAAGGCAGATCTTCATTATCAGTTGTAACTAGATTTGGACTCTCTGTCTTAACAATGGGTAATGGTTTAGAGGCTGGGCTTCTTGCATTGTATGTTAACAAGGACAGACTTGGGACAGGCTCACATTGTTTGAAAAAACTTGCAGTCAGCCATGACAATTTGTCCTTAGAAACATCTGAAAGTTGAGAGATATTAAACAAAGTGTAGGCATGCTGTTTAAATGGAAACACACATACAGTGGTGTTTTTTAAAATTTGACTGAAAAAGCAGAAAACCATAAGGGATTTCTTCTACTAAAAAATCACTCCTCAATTTACATGCACACTTGGCTTTTCCTGAAAATTTTGATTTGGCCTGGGTTGCTTTTCCATCGAAGGAGCCTGAAAAATACACAGCTTTGAATAGCCGTATCTTTGCCTCTGCCATCTACAGTGGGGCAAAAAAGTATTTAGTCAGCCACCAATTGTGCAAGTTCTCCCACTTAAAAAGATGAGAGAGGCCTGTAATTGGCATCAGAGGTAGATCTCAACTATGAGAGACAAAATGAGAAAAAAAATCCAGACAATCACATTGGCTGATTTGGAAAGAATTTATTTGCAAAACATGGTGGAAAATAAGTATTTGGTCACCTACAAACAAGCAAGATTTCTGGCTCTCACAGACCTGTACCTTCTTCTTTAAGAGGCTCCTCTGTCCTGCACTCATTACCTGTATCAATGGCACCTGTTTGAACTTGTTATCAGTATAAAAGACACCTGTCCACAACCTCAAACAGTCACACTCCAAACTCCACTATGGTGAAGACCAAAGAGATGTCGAAGGACACCAGAAACAAAATTGTAGACCTGCACCAGGCTGAGAAGTCTGAATCTGCAATAGGCAAGCAGCTTGGTGTGAACAAATCAATAGTGGGAGCAATAATTAGAAAATGGAAGACATACAAGACCACTGATAATATCCCTCGATCTTGGGCACCACGCAAGATCACACCCCGTGGGGTCAAAATGATCACAAGAACGGTGAAGCAAAAATCCCAGGACCACACGGGGGGACCTAGTGAATGACCTGCAGAGAGCTGGGACCAACGTAACAAAGGCTACCATCAGTAACACACTACGCCGCCAGGGACTCAGATCCTGCAGTGCCCGATGTGTCCCCCTGCTTAAGCCAGTACATGTCCGAGCCCGTCTGAAGTTTGCTAGAGAGCATTTGGATGATCCAGAAGAGGATTGGGAGAATGTCATATGGTCAGATGAAACCAAAATAGAACTGTTTGGTAGAAACACAACTCGTCGTGTTTGGAGGAGAGAGAATGCTGAGTTGCATCCAAAGAACACCATACCTGCTGTGAAGCATGGGGGGTGGCAACATCATGCTTTGGGGCTGTTTCTCCGCAAAGGGACCAGGACGACTGATCCATGTACAGGACAGAATGAATGGGGCCTTGTATCATGAGATTTTGAGTGCAAACCTCCTTCCATCAGCAAGGGCATTGAAGATGAAACGTGGCTGGGTCTTCCAACATGACAATGATCCCAAACATACCGCCCGGGCAACGAAGGAGTGGCTTCGTAAGAAGCATTTCAAGGTCCTGGAGTGGCCTAGCCAGTCTCCAGATCTCAACCCCATAGAAAACCTTTGGAGGGAGTTGAAAGTCCGTGTTGCCCAGCGACAGCCCCAAAACATCACTGCTCTAGAGATCTGCATGGAGGAATGGGCCAACATACCAGCAACAGTGTGTGCCAACCTTGTGAAGACTTACAGGAAACGTTTGACCTCTGTCATTGCCAACAAAGGATATATAACAAAGTATTGAGATTAACTTTTGATATTGACCAAATGCTTATTTTCCACTATAATTTGAAAATAAATTCTTTCCAAATCAGCCAATGTGATTGTCTGGATTTTTTTTTCTCATTTTGTCTCTCATAGTTGAGGTCAACCTATGATGCCAATTACAGGCCTCTCTCATCTTTTTAAGTGGGAGAACTTGCACAATTGGTGGCTGACTAAATACTTTTTTTGCCCCACTGTATAGGCACCAATCTCCTGGGCCTACTGATAAACCTGGCCAAAAAGCCAGCCATAGATGATTCATTTTTTTTTATCAGCCAGTGGACTGTACGAGAAAAAAATTAATAGGTTACGCTATTCACACAGTCGAGGTGGATAGAGGAATTCTCCACACTGGGACATTGTATTCTGACCGTGGGACTGTGGCCAGAATACACTGATCAGTGGCTGCACCTACTTGGCTGTAGCAAACTGATTGAGAAAAAGTTTTCAACAAGCCCATTTGATAGAAGTTGATTATATGAATTTTGATCCATCTTTGGCAAGCCTAACTGGTGTCATTACTAAAGATTAATCCTTAAGTGCCCAACCTCCTCCAACTGCCATTTATATTATTTGTGATTAATATACCTCTGCTGTAGAGTGATATAAAAGCAGGCGGAAAAGAAAGTGCAACCAATCAGCTGCATGCCATCCTGGAGTAAGTCGAAGGGTGTAAGTAGACATCAAATTTGAGAAAGAAGTCACTTTTCTATTCTTTAATGTTATACACAATACTTTCAAGGCCTACATAGAACAAATTGGAGTTCTTGCATTCATATAAGAGCTTTGAATAGATATTATGCATGGTTGTGCAAATCTCTCTGCAAATCAGTTGCATGGCTTTATTAAAAGAGAAAATAAAACAACACGACCTGATTATGCTGGGAACAAATTGATCTTTTTATATTCTTTATAACAGAAATGCTATTATGATTAAAGGACGTGCTGGAGTCAAATGTAAATAATGTTTCTGGGTTTCCAGTGACTCACAAAGATTATTTTATTATTTACAACTGAGCCGAATCACAGACTAAACAAGACAAAACTCTTTTGTAGCAGCCAACTGATATGCACAATTAATGTAGGTCTGCACATTAGCAGATGGCACAGCTTAGTTTAATGCCACTTTGTACTGAGTTTATTTAATACATTTATTATGCATCTAGCTTTTGCAGAATTGAGAAGGATAACACAATAACAAACAAAAGCATTTTTAAAAATTATTCGTACATGTTAACTGAATACAATATGAATGTTTTGCATGCTGTGCTGGAGTCATTACTTCAATTCCCTCCAGAGATATTGTCTGTATGGAATTTATATGTTCCCATAAGGTGCTTTTATTTCCTTCCACAAACCAAAAGTGCACTAGAAGAATAAATCAAATTGGTTTTGGTGAATGGGTGTCTGTGTCACTGTATTAGGAACGTTAAATGAATGATCAGGGATTTGTTCTGTATTAATAATAAAAGAAGTAGTTGTATACAGCCCAGTGAATTTATTTCGGAGTTTGATTTAGATCCTGCCCATGATTGGATGTTTAACTTCTTCCCGACCGTGCTGTAGCCAAAAGATGACTACAGCGCTGTCCTCCAATTCTAAGAGGGTGTCCCTTTTTTGCAGTAAAGGGCCAATCACAGCAACCCTTTATCATGTGATCAGCTGTGCCCAATCACAGCTGATCACACATGTAAACAGAATTGCCGGTTATCAGCAGTCCTTTCCTCATGCGCTGTCACAGCATGAGGAGAGGAGAGCCGGTAACTGGCAATTCACACAGGGGATACCTCATTAGTGTCACCAATTAATGCCCATCTGTGCCGTATATCAGTGCAGCTTCATCAGTGCTTCCTCATTAGTGCCACTTCATCCATGCCCATCAGTGCAGCCTTTCCTGGCCATCAGTGCAGCCTCATGAGTGCACAGCAGTGAATGAGAAAAATTACTTATAAATAAAAAGCTAATTGGTGCTGCACTATATCTATGTGTAATATAAACCCCTTAGAGAAATACTCCTCACAATATTTTTGGATGTTTCATGTCTATTCTATTCAATATTTTAGTTCTGATTTGGTTTATATAATCATTGTATTTTTCATTTTACTATGCATGAGTTTATATTTACTATTAGTATATTGTGAGGAGTATTTCTCTAAGGGGTTTATATTACACATAGATAGAGAGCGGCACCAATTAGCTTTTTATTTGTAATTATCCCATTTGATATATGGTAAGGTGTTAGCTTTTTGTAATATTTAATTGGGGGGTCTAGAGCATGAGGGGGCCATATAGAGAAAAATTACTTATCTGCATATTTTTTTCATTTGTTAAGAAAAAAATAAAAAACCCAGTGGTGTTTAAATACCACCAAAAGAAATCTATCTGTCTAAAAAAATGATACAAATTGTGTTTGGGTACAGTGTCACATGACTGCACAATTGTCAATTAAAGTGTGACAGCGCTTAAAGATGAAAATTGGCCTGGGCAGGAAGGGGTGAAAGTATCCAGTAATAAAGAGTGATCATAGCTTCTCTGTGTGTGCTATAACTTTCTCCTAAATTAAGTGTAATGAGCACAAGTGCACAGTTTATGGATGCTTACATGGGCAAGGCATTCTGTGCAAGATCTGTAATCTTACTTAGTAAGCAACATAGAGAGCTATGATCTTCAGGGATGTAAGCACAGGGGAAAGAGCAGTCATAACTGTCACTGTGCTTCTGTTTCAAGAGGTCTAGGCTAAGACTTCTATAACCTTTACAGACCCTCTTAGTGAAACAAGAAATCGGAGGAAGCCAGGTAATGTATTGCAGTAACAATAAGATCCCACATAACAAAGCTGCCGATGGCCCACACAAAGTGCAGTGAGAAGTCCCCATGCTTCCTCCTTACTCAGAAATGTAATCTGATGTGTGAAGTCACAAGCAGAGGATGGGGAGGAATTCTAGGGCTCTGCAGCTTACAGCTTTTATGAGGCTTATTCTCGTATTATTGTTCTTTTGCCCAGTGCTCTACTTTACTGCTATTAAGTGGGGTGTAAAAAAAGGTCTGCCAACAAGGAAACACACAGAAAATGGAATGCTACTTCAAAACATGTATAGAGATCCTTTCAACCATAGCAATGCTACCATCAAAGATGTGCTAGACCAGGGGCGGACTGACAACTCATGGGGCCCCCGGGCAATAGGGGATCATGGGGCCCCTGTGTCCTTGCCCAAACTCAAAAAAGCCTATGAATAAGGTACCAGGGGCATCTCATGGGGCCCCCCACTGACCCCAGGCCCTCGGGCAGTGCCCGAGTTTCCAAATGGTCAGTCTGCCCCTGTGCTAGACCTATGCTAAATGGTGGACAACACACAAAAGTGTCCTACATCAGTCAGCCGTTCTGGTAAGAAGCATAGCTTTAGATTGCCAGTCTGAGCCTGACAACCAGATTACAGTAAACTTTTGTCATATCTATAAAATATGAATTTCAGTTGGTTGCTTTGTGTAACTATACTTTTTTTCAATCGTATTTTATTAAGATTTTTCAAGTACAAAGAACAGAAATTGGAGATACAACAAAAAAGACATCCTCTGCTTAAAAACACACATGCCAATTGGAGAAACAATTGTCAGTATATGTCAATAATGAGAAGGTATCCAAGTCACATTTTACTAGCTAATGTACCAAGGCTAAAAAGTGTTAGGAGAAAAGCATGTTTAGGCAATAATAAGTTCAGTGTATGCTGTGAGAAACATCTTCAGCTTTCAGCTATATATGAGGTATACTATATTGCCAAGAGTATTGGGACACCCCTCCAAATCATTGAATTCAGGTGTTTCAATCACCTCCATGGCCACTGGTGTATAAACTCTAGCACCTAGGCATGCAGACTGCTTCTACAAACATTTGTGAAAGAAGGGGTCGCTCTCAGGATCTCAGTGAATTCAAGCATGGTACCCTGATAGGTTGCCACCTGTGCAATAAGTAAACCCACAAAATGTCCTTGCTACTAAATATTCTTCGGTCAAATGTTAGTGGTATTATAACAAAGTGGAAGAAACTGGGAACAACAGCAATTCATCCACGAAGTGGTAGGCCATGTAAAATGACAGAGCGGGTCAGCGCATGCTGAAGCGCACATTGCATAGAAGTAGCCAACTGTCTGTAGAGTCAATAGCTAAAGACCTCCAAACTTCATGTGGCCTTCAAATTAGCACAACAACAGTGCATAGAGAGCTTCATAGAATGGGTTTCCCTGGCCGAGTAGCTGCATCCAAGCCTTACATCACCAAGTGCAATGCAAAGAGTCCAATGTAGTGGTGTAAAGCATACCGCCACTGGACTCTAGAGCAGTATAGACATGTTGGACTAATCACGTTTCTCTGTCTGGCAATCCAATGGACATGTCTGGGTTTGGCAGTTCGCAGGAGAATGGTACTTGCCTGACTGAATTGTGCCAAGTGTAAAGTTTGGTGGAGGGGGTATTACGGTGTGGGGCTGTTTTTCAGGGGTTTAGCTTGGCCCCTTAGTTCCAGTGAAGGAAATTCTTAAGGCATCAGCATACCAAGACATTTTGGACAATTTCATGCTCCCAACTTTGTGGGAACAGTTTGAGGATGGGCCCTTCCTGTTCCAACATGACTGCCCACCAGTGCACAAAGCAAGGTCCTTAAAGAAATGGATGAGAATTTGGGGTGGAGGAACTTGACTGGCCTGCACAAAGTCCTGGCCTCAACCTGATAGAACACCTTTGGGATGAATCAGAGTGGAGACTGCAAGCCAGGCCTTCTTGTCTGACATCAGTGCCTGACCTCACAAATGCGCTTCTGGAAAAATGGTCAAACATTCCCATAAACACACTCCTAAACCTTGTGCATAGCCTTCCCAGAAGAGTTTAAATTGTTATAGCTGCAAAGGGTGGGCGAACTCAATATTGAACCCTATGGACTAAGACTGGGATGCAATTAAACTTCATGTGCTTGTAAAGACAGGCATCCGAATACTTTTGGCAATATAGTGTATCTTCCTATAAAAGGAGAAGGCAGTGAGAAAATATGACTAGGAAGAAAAGATGGGATTATGATAGGAAAGAGAAGAGCAGAAGTTTGGGTGAAGACAAAGTTAGAACAGGAGCATTCCATCATGGCTGGGGAGGATCAAAGGTCAGTTCTCCTTTAACCCAAGCCTGGAAATCAGAGGAGTACCAACAGGTACGAGGTCCAGATGTGGGAGAATAGTTCCTCTTTTCCTGTTTCCTGCACCAGCAAGTTCTCCAGGTCCCTTTATGGAGTCTAATTCAGTTGCCCATTCCCCAAGGCAGGGTAGAGTTGTTGATGTCCAGTGGTGAGGAATGACTGCCATGGCTGCTGCAAGGGAATGTTTGAGGACATCCCTTTTTGTGGATTTAAAGGATCCGGGAATCATGGAAAGGAGAGCTACAGTATCCTGGGTGAATAGAAGTTGCCATGAGTTTACAGTACAGGGCAAGGATTTGTTTCCTGAATGTCTGTATGGGTGGGCAATCCCACCAAATGTGGAGCATCGTGCCCTTCAAAGTGTGACATTGCCAGCGTAACTATACATTTATCATTACTAATGGGTTGCTTTTTTTAATTAAACCTAGTAGAGAAGCTATCATTTGAAGTAGATCTCTTTTAGAGGTTAATGATGCATTATTTGCACATTGTTCTGTGCAACCACTGAGAGAAATTATTTCTCCATGAGTAAAGTATCAGATGACATTCTTTTTAGCCCATATAGATGTTAAACAATGTATCTAATTTAATATAGACAGGTTTATGTTGTCAGCAAGGGCAAGGAGTGTTCACTCTGCTGCTCAGTATAATTACACTTGTTTACTTGTACATCCTCATTATAACCTTATTCGGGAATGATCTCTAGAATGCATTATATATTTGAATAGCAGAGACATGTAACTACTTAAAATGCATAGCTTTTGCCCCTCTATAGAAGGATAAAGTTGTTATTTTTTTAATTTCAGAGGTACTGTATGTCTGAAAAACCTTTTCGTTTTGGATAGGATGTTGAGGGGTTTGAGCTTCTATCAGATTCTTTGTTGCTATCTGAGTTGTCATTATGGAGAATCACACTATTTATCCTAGCAACCACTGCCACTTGGACAGGAAGTAAAGGGGAAGTGAAACATTTTGAGGTGTCATGAAAACAGTAATACGGTGGAAAGCTTCCAATGGGAACACTTGTTTCAGTGACAAGTTAAATACCACTAACACTAATTTCAGTGTCATCTAGTACCAGTGTAAGCCAGCACCAGTGCCCTGATTGCCAGCCTCACCAGTACAGTGTTGGCGATTAAACTTCTTAGTATGACTTTTTGACTTTTGGAGCAGAGGAGAGACTTCACAGTCAGATTCAGAGTATGAAACTATAGAAAGTAGCACTTCATCTGATTTACAGGGCGGAGAGGTCCTTATTAAAAGAATCAGGCATACTGGGGTTTATTAAAGCTGGAAAGTGCAAAATCAGGTTCACTTCTGCATAGAAGCCAATCAGCTTCCAGATTTTATTGCCAAAGCTTAATTCAACAAGCTAAGGTTAGAAGCTAATTGGCTACCATGCACAGGTGTACCAGACTCTGCGTAAACCAGCATTAGTAAATCTCCCCCACAGTGTCACCAAGGATTGGAGTGATGACTTTCCAAAAGGTGGTCACTTAATGGGTGTTTTCTATTGTTCTGGCACTATAGAGCCTCTAAAAGTGTGATAAATAGTCAGGAAATTAGATGCATAATTATGACCCTTGAAAGCCTAAAGATGCGCTTCAGATTTTGGGCCCTTCTGTACATCTAGGTGTCAAAAAAAGTCTCATACAAGAGGTAACCCCAAATGTAGAAACATGTAGAAAGTAGAAGAATGTGTTTTGTGTTGTAATTCGAAGTGTGCTCATGCAGTGTGTGAGAAAGCAAATTTAATTTATTATCTTAATTTTCCAAAAACCTTCAAGAAACTCACTATGCTTCTTACTAAATATCTTCAGATATCAGCTTTTCAAAAAGGAGTAATTGTGGAGGTGTTTTTACTGTACATTTTAGGCCCCAAGAAATGTGATAGTCAGTATATCAGAATTGATACATTTTAACCACTTCCTGACTGGATTATTGTAATATGATGGCCAGGCGGGAGCTCTCCTTTCCTGGGTGGACATCATATGACATCCTCCCAGGATTGTGCCTCGTGCTCACCCCATGGGCCATGCTGCAGTGCAATCTGTCCATTGGACACAGCGGATAACAGATCAGTGTGCTGGGCTGCTGCCGATACCATGTGATCTCTTTGACCAATTACAACAGGTCACATGAGAATTGTACACAATGGATAGCTTCCATTCATACCATTCATTGTGGTTGTGTTGATCTCTGTTATTGGTCACAGTGATCACATGGTACAGACAGGGCCAATCATAGCCCATCTGTACCATCTGAATAGCAGTGGCTAATCACAGCTTATTACAATAGTACACAATGCCTGAATGGGTTTTATTCAGAAAAACGTGTTGGATAAAGTGATTATCATTGTTATAAGCAATCATAGTCTGTAAAAGAAAAAAAATCCTGATCATCACCCCAGAGTAGTAGTGTTACTATGTAACACTGTATTGCTCTGGTCACAGTATGTGAAAAAACTAATTGTAAAAATTATATAAAAATAAAGAAAAATTGTAATCATTTTTTTCTTAAAATGTAAAAACTATTTTAAAATTTCACTATACATAAGTGGCGCTGTGTACTGAAACCTATAAGTCCATCACCTAATCCACCTACCAAAAAGGTAACCTTTCTGGATCAAACAGGAATTTTTAAATGTGGTAAATGCATGATATGTAGGACTTCTACAAAAGGTAACAAAAAGATCACCCACTTTCAATCTAGAAATACAGGAAGGAGATATGAAATAAAAAAGTTTATTACATGTAGTACCACGCATGCCACATATCCTTTAGAATGTAGCTGTAGGTTGCAGTATGTGGGGAGAACCACAAGAGAACTTAGAGTTACTCAAAGAGCATGTTAACAATATAAAAAAGGGTTTCCGTTATCACAATCTGTCTAGCCACTTTAGAACACATCATAACAAAGAACCATTTCAATTAAAGTTTTGTGGAATAGATAGGGTGGACAAACACTCGTGAGGGACCAATATGAGACAAGCCATTTCACAAAATGAGTCCAAGTGGATTTATCAATTGGGTACCATGGTCCTCAGAGGTCTTAATATAGAAATGGATGTCAA